CCAGTTCCTGCCCCTATCACCTGCTCCAGTGTATGGTAGCTGCTTCTTACCAAAAAGATTATGTTAGAAAGGGTTTCAGGTGTGACCTCTTAGAAAATGACATCTATTTGTATCACAATCTCTATACCAAAACTTTCTCAATATTTTCTCTTTTCCCATCTCTTTCCTTTGTGTGCCCTCACTGATAGATAGTTTACCCATATCTGTGCCTGCAATGACACCAATGTCAGCCATGTTATTTCTTCTCTTAGTACATAGTTTTACACATTTAGTTACATTTCACATGGTATTTGAAGAGAGTCTTTCTCCACAAATTTCAAACTGATCTATAGATCTCAGTTTTATTCTTGATTATCATCTACTGAATCACCACTTCTTCACTGACTATCCTTTAATACCTCAAATGTATTCAAAGCTTAGAGACTCTTCATTCTCATAATTATTAAAAGTGTTGAGTCATAGATGGAGTAAGCACCACACTTAAGTTTCCATCATCAGAGGAACGTTTTAAAAGTACAAATGCTTTTCTCATACTTGAATTCATTTTTGTATGTTATACCTTATAATCTATGTTTTGCACAATAAGCTTCCCAACACCATGGAGATATTATATATGCTTTGGGAAGTTCTAGAGAATTGCAACGATTTCTTGATTACTAGTCTGGACTTTAATTCCACCCACCCTAGGCAATATGTACACTATCAAATATTTAAAAAAGAATATTTTATCATATCTTTCAAAAATTTAAAATATCTTAGTGTAAGTCTGTTACTTGAGAAGCAGAACTTAAATTTCTTCACAACAGATTCAAGTCAGTTTATATTCATCATCATTCAAATAGCTTTGCTCTAGACTCTGCACATGCTCAGGACATAGAGTTTCTAACCACATTCAATCGGTCTCAATAAAGTGATCAAAAACTTAGAAAGCATCTCATTTCCTGTAAATTTTTTACTTCTGCACATTTATTAAGTGTATTAATTGCAGTTTTCCCCATTTTTTTCCTCAATATTATTTTCTCCTATTACTGTAGTGTATATTCTGACAAATGCACTTTATAAATATATAAAAGTGATTTTTTTCTCTGCTCATATATTTTCAATTTGTTGTTTTGAATCATTGTAAATCTTCATTCACAGCCT